CTCACTCAGACAGTCGCCACACGCCCGGAAAAGCACTGTACGCGCGTTTCATCCTTTCGGGAATCATCAGCAGTGCGCATTCCATCGGACCCTTGGTAGGGCTCGAACCCGCAACTCGACTGTTGCCAGTCCGTGGTGGGAACCACTGAGCTACGGGGGACGGCAACGACCATCGTGAATAAGTTACTAGATGTGATATAGCGCCGCCCACTATCCACTGACTTACACGTTACTGCCGTGCAGAGGACAGGGTAGCCCCCTCACCAAGCGACGAGCTTACCAAACTTAAGCCGCCAATTAACTTATGGCATTATAAGCAGTTTGGTCTGCGTACTGATTACAGAAGAGTAGTAGGGGGAAATGAATGTGGCGAATTTCTACCTATAACATTCATTTCCCCCTACTACTCTTCTGTAATCAGTACGCAGACCAAACTGCTTATAATGCCATAAGTTAATTGGCGGCTTAAGTTTGGTAAGCTCGTCGCTTGGTGAGGGGGCTACCCTGTCCTCTGCACGGCAGTAACGTGTAAGTCAGTGGATAGTGGGCGGCGCTATATCACATCTAGTAACTTATTCACGATGGTCGTTGCCGTCCCCCGTAGCTCAGTGGTTCCCACCACGGACTGACAACAGTCGAGTTGCGGGTTCGAGCCCTACCAAGGGTCCGATGGAATGCGCACTGCTGATGATTCCCGAAAGGATGAAACGCGCGTACAGTGCTTTTCCGGGCGTGTGGCGACTGTCTGAGTGAGTCTAGATGTGACGAGTTTCTACCTATAACAATTTTTACTTACTACTATGTTCAAAAAGAACGCGAACTTTGAAATAGCGAGCCTACCGACAGAGGTAGCGCACTACGCTTAATGAGCACACAGTGAGGATTTTAGGCAATAAACAGCCATTGACAGCGTTTCTCTCTGACCGTTGGTTGGCCACCAACAGCCACTGAAGTGATCAGTCGCATAATCTGTTTGTCCGATTAGTGTTAACATAACAATGCATAATCTCGAGAAACTACGTGGGTGTAACATTTTGCTATAAATCAGGAAAAACTTACACAGAGACATTTCAGTTGATTGGCCAATCATACGGGAGTATTGTATGAGGTGCACGGAGTACTGAGTGGTTTAAACTTTTTGAACACAACAGGATGTTGGTCGGTGAGGATCCTAAGCCTGGGCGACTTTCCAAATCAACAGACAATGGCACTGTCGAGAGAGTTCGTGCTGTGATCCATGGGAATCATCGTCGCGTTATCGTTGAAGGGAGACAACAATTCCAAAAACCTTAGTAAACGATTACGATCGACCTCCACTGACACAAATGGGGCCACTCAGTTACGCATTATCTTCACCACTACTTACATGCTATACCTCCAACTGAACGATAAACTCCTTGTGTGTGTCACCTCCTTCTGTGTGTACCAACTTACTTGTTCCTGTGGGACATGTCACCTAAGTCACACCACGAGACGTTTGTCTGAACGCGTCCGCGATCATTGACCAGCGTGGCCCAGCCGATGATTTAACAAAACATGCACTACCGCAATAGTCGCGTACCTAATGCAAACGAATCTTCCCGTCGCTGTCTCTAAAGAGTGTCCATTCAAAACGTATCAGATGCCGAATGTTTGCATTAGCGGAGGCGAACGCGGTTCGTCTCAACAATCCCCTGTTGTGTTCACACACAGTTCATTGAGGATTTGGCTTTACCATGGCCAGGTGGCGTCCCCTCAGTTTCCACATGTACCACTCATACCCATCTTGGGCATTTTAATACCATCATTGTCTACTGACACAATCCACTATTTCTTATCGTAACTATCTAAACGTGATCTATTTGGCTTGACGAGGAATAAGCGAAATGAGCTTGTTTGCTAGACCGCCTTTTCATACCTGTTAATTATTAATAACAATGTATATTCTCGGTTTCACGAAACGCCATTTCCGGCATAATCAACGTTTTACAATTGTGTTGCAACATTACAACCGCAGAAAGTAACAAATGTACTAACATGGAACAAGGGCTGTAGCAGATTTTAAAGAGAACAGGAAACCGTTAAATGTGCAATTAAAGTGATACGGCTATTCGTGGAACAGACACCATGCGGAGACTGCTCCGTAAAGTTTTCACCAGCACTTCCACGCCCATTTAGCAATGTGTCGTTATGGCTTAAAAGCATTTGAGCCGTCACCACTTTGATTCATCTCTCTGGCTGCATTCAGATGTAGCTTAAGATCAAATAGGTCATCACCGTTTTAAATCATTTTTCGGGCCATAGTTTATGCAATTAGAGTGACCACTTCGGCGATTCGGCCCACTTAACTCTTCTGAGGATAACACCCTTTTGATACCACCAGTAGATTTGTGGGCCCTTCGCCTTGTGTGGGTACACATTTAAAATTATACGCTTCACTGTGTCACTTCAGGAGATAGGCCAATTCATGGCCAACTATGAGAGAACAGTAAACTAAAATGAAGTTACTGACGGAGTAAACATCAGCGTAGGATTATGCCATCAACATTTGATTCAATGAACAATACTTTTATACGGGTTAAGAGATACTGCTTTACAAGCCACGTTACGTGGTCTGGTGGATTATTGTATAATGTTAGTGAAAAAATGCGGTTAATGCTTCTACTCTTAAAAGAATGGACCTATCGTGAGTAATGCAGTAGCCCTGCACTTCGAGTGTTTCCATAGCTTCATTTGGCAAAAAGAATAAATCTAAGGTATTTCCCGACAGTAGGATCGTGAGTAGAGTCAAGTAACAAAAAGATAAGTGGCAGAGTGCGTCATCCAACCGACCTTTAAATATGGTGAGCGTGGGTGCAGAAAGAACCGATTCGGTGAGAGGGTTCCATGGTTGACGCACGCGAATGAAAGAGAAATTTCTACAGCACTCCAGACGGCTTTACTGTTCTGTTAATTTCAAGGAGTGGCCTCTGAGCTTGGTGTTACTGCGGAGTTGCAGTAAGGCACGACACCCATGATTTGGAGTGTGTAAAATCAAGTACGCCATAATCAAGTTTCCTCGCAGTCGGCGATACCGCCCGCTGAATATTGTCAAACGTTTAAGCTTTTGCTCGTATGGTAAGTGGGGCATTCCAATGAGTTATCTAGAAGTCCCACGATGAGGTTGATCCAGTGCAGTAAGGTGTTGCTCCAGCCATGGATGCCAGACTTGGATTGTGTATTCGACATGGGGGCGAATGTACGCATTGCGCATCTGTCTGAAAATAAAGGTGTCTCTATGTTCGAACGCCCGTCGTAGCAAGCCGACGTGCTGGTTATCAGTTTTCGATACCTTTACATATTGCTCGGAACAACAAGTTATCCTGAACAAGCACGCCAAGGTCGCGTTCGACGGATGACCGTCGGAGCACTTGCGTTCCTACCTTGTAAGAATACGTACTCTGGTGTTGTACGGAGACAATTTACATTTGCCCACGTTGAACTGTAGCAGATTTCGTGTTGGCCACCATGTACCATATCTATGTCGCACTGAAGTGAATTCTGATCAGTATCCGCCTGAATCCGGCGCCATATCTTGATATTGTCAAAAAACAGTAGGAAATTTGAAGCGATTTTCCATGCAGTTATTGATGTATAACCAAAACGAATTTGGGATACGTCGTCTAGGTGCAAACTCCGTGCCACGTTTGTTGACTGACGGTCAGACACAGAACCGTTTTGAAATCAGCTAAGAACATGTTTCCGCTGCGATTGACAAGGAAAACTTTCTTAAGAACTCGACAACTGACGATAAGACGTGGGTTTATGACTATGCTACTGAAACGGAATACATTCATTGTAGGGGATGGGAAAAGCATCACCTTGTTCAAAAAAAGACGCACGAGTCGGCCAGGGAACAACGGGATATCGCTTGTCTTTCGCTTACAGAAACATTGTCCATCAGGAATTTGTACACGTGATTAGGTAGTAAACAAAGTAGTCTACCAAGGAATTCCGACGCATTTGAGAGATGCGGGGCTCAGGAAGAGGACTGTATTGTGGGGAATCCAGACTTGGATGTTCCATCATGACAATGCTTTGGCTCACGCATCGCTCCTTACCCGCTGGTATCTACCGAAACAAGTAAACCCACTATATTCTACAAAACCTAATCAAAGCAGCATTTTTCCTGTTTCCTAAACTGCAAACCATACTAAATGGACGTCTTTTCCAAACGATAGGGGAGATTTAAAATAGCCCAACAAGAGACCCGTCCGCCATCCCCGAAAGCGCGTTCTTGGAAGCATTCCAAGTATGAGAGCCCCGTTGCGAACGTTATACTGTCCACAGACGGGACTACTTTAAGATGGATAGTGCTTTAAATGTTGTACAGTGAGCAATAAGCGTGTTCACGTTTTTTTGTACACCCCTCGTAAATCCGCATTTCTACCCCGTAACTGCTCCGGAGTTCCTGTTTAGTTCCAAGGATCCTCCTCTTCAGAATTACTTTTTCCCCACCAGGGAACAAAACTCGTAGATCGTTGCGTCTTTCTTCATACAGTACACACGAAAACCGTTGTCCTTCGAGATTTTGCTCTAGTTCGTAAGTCACGTGATTTAAAGGAAAGAGAAGTGCCACCATTTTCGACACAAACTCAATCAGCGCATTTTTAGGAGTATAGTTTACTGCACTAGCTTTCAACCTAAGAGTTAAATTAATGAGACAAGCACGCTAGTGAATTGTCTCCTGTGGAATGTGCATTTTCAACGAGATATCCTCGTCTCAGGCGCCCGCGGTTAAAATGTCATGTTACTTTGTGTCTAACACAGAATATAACTTTGGCTTGCAGGTATCCGAAGGCAACGGTTTTGCAGTTCGTTTCAGTTGAACATTTCCTATACTTCTGTATCAGATGGTACATTGAACACACTGTAAGAACTGTCAGCACCTCTGGGCTACTTTCGCCCCAGTTGTGCAACCTTTGACCCGAATCTATGCAGGGAGTATTGTTCAAACGTTGTACAACCTACCTCTTTTCCAGATGTGGTGCCCATACTCACAAGTACCGTAATTGAATGCCAGAAAGCGGGCCTGAAAGCTACCAGTTTCGGTTACGCTGCAATGCTGCTGCGTCCTGAATACCGGGATAAGCTGGAGCAGAAGCACAGGCGGAAGTTCGAGACCCTCGTCCGACGACCGGACTGGAAGACGGATTCTGCCGGTCAGGAGCAAACAGATGGTGGCGCCGAATTGGAACCAAACACTCCGTGCCCCTCTTGTTCTGTGCCTTTGTTAAGCACCTGTCTATACTGTACGGAATGTTGTAGCACACTACCCTATTGCATAATTACGGTAAGTATGCCGTGACCATCCTATCCCGTGTCAGACAGTCATGACTCATAAGGACATGCAAAACTCTATTATCACTGTTATATATGGTTTAATTATAGAAACCTTTTAGCAACCTCAAACAACTCTAATCTTATAATAAACGTTTCACATGCGTGGTATGCTTTAGGCTAAGTCTGTTTATAATGTCACACATCCGCATCCTTAGCATACGTCTGCGGCAGTTCGAAGTCGAATAAACAGGCGGCGAGTGGAATTATAACACAGTCTCCACGGGGCCAGTGTCCTCCGTCCCATATGGCCTTCGGCGGGAAAATGACGTCTGATTAAAAATGCCATTTTGTATGCATACTAAACTGTGGGAACAAGGTGATAAATGAATAAATAAATAGTTTTTCTCCTTGACAAGGCGAGACAGGCCTTTACAGGCATGATCATGTTAACATAACAGTGCATGATCAATAATGTGCAAAATTCCGGTATGTTTGCCATAACAATGTATGTTTGTGTATGGATGTATATAAATATGTAATTGTTTGTGTGTAACTGTATAGTTTGTGCTTGTAATTGTATTGCTCCATTCTTGAATGTTTGTTATCGTCGACAATGTGCAAGTAGAAGATTGATGTCCGTGGGCTGGAAAGGATTATCCGGATATCCACCTGGCAGTGAGTTTATTCTGTGGCGAGTCACGACCGCCACGTCACAGTGTTGTTAAGCAGACATTTGTGGCTTTTTATTGGGAGGACGCTTGCCATCTCCTGGATCACTGCCGCCGAACTATTTGTTGGGACAGGTTAAACCCGTACCACCGAACTGGCACTACGGGGAAGTTGTTCGGCTAGCCAGCCATGATAACTGTGAAACTGGAAACTGCTTTTGCCTCGTTGACAAAGGGTGTTCATCACCCAAATCCAGCCGAGCGCGCTCAGCATCTGTGAGACATTGTTCGACACGGACACAAAGGTTGCACGTTAATTCAAGTCTTTCTGTATGATTAATCGTGCGATGGAACATAGGGAAATTTAATTCAAATCAAAGTAGACCTAACACGGGGTCACGTCGATTTTTTCACACTCGCATCTACAGCAACCATCCTTTTACACACATTAGCAATCCGTTCCTTTTTGTGTGACCGATTGCTTGTCGGTTAGAAGTCCGCCTCTCTAAAGCTCTATTCATTCCTAAGCGCGTACATAAAACGGCCTCACTGCACGTATGCTACATACCATGACAGTGTTGAGGATACCTACCAACTCCACAACCAGTATACAAGCTCATCAGGGTATTCAGTACGTTGATACTGCTCCTCTGGTGAGGAGTTACTCTTATACCACCAACATAAACTGGTTTCACCCCCTTGATGAGCTTCTCATCAAGGTACCGAATAGCAGCTCCGCGACACACTCACGTACACTTTCTTCTTTGCAAACATAATGGAACAGGATGATGATATACGAGTGGAAACCGCAATGTTCCACGAACCTACCAGGTAACTGTCTGAAAAAAAGCTTTTGTATACCATCTGGTGCCCAGGCACATTGCAACTGTCCTTAGAACGCAACCAACAGTTTACTGTGGTGATCTTTCTGTTTATCTTAATGTCAACATCTGAACTTCAATGGACGATTTCCGGGGTTTCGCACATAACGGCTCACCTTTTACGTCCGGCTAGAGTAATCATCTCTAACTCCGACACACAGAACTTAGGCCTATTGAGTACACGCATATTCAACATGTGCATCTTGCCATTCCAAACAAACAGCGTATTTTTCCATGCATGAGAGATCTTACAAAAAAGTTGCGCTGTAGTGTGTGCATATATATTGAGCCATTTTGCAAAGTAACATTCTGACACATAACGCGTGATTCTTCTTTATAGTGCAATGCTAGTTATACACCAAGTTACTTTTCATTGTGAGTTTAGCTCAATAGATCCATGAGGCGTTGCTAATCGGAAGAACGATTATTTCGACGTTACTCCACACGCGACTCCGTTAACCCTCTGTCGTCATCATCGTCATTATACACGCTAGCTGCATGTGGAAACCACCTCAGCTATGGTGCCGCAATAGAAAAGAAAAGGACTGAAACAGAGGCACGCCGACTGTGTCACCAGTAACAGATGGACATCGTTTCGGAGAGCTAACAGCCAGCTATGGTGTCGCAAATAGTCATATAACGCGGAAGTCGGTGGGCTGGCATGCGCAACACATGGTCCAGCCATCGGAGCCTGGTGCGTGAAATGACGTTGCTGAGCGGTTCGCTTCCTTTTCGTGCGCCATAAACAAGGCGTCGAACACGCTCATTACACACACGGTGTTCGCACCAGATTTGAGCCAAACTGCGAAGACGCCGGTGGTCGAACGTAACTAGCCTCTTTATGTCTGTCGACCTGATGGGCCAACTTTCCCAACCGTACAGTAGGGTCGAAGGTACCGCTGCATGGTATACTCTACCGTTCAGGGAGATAGTGCTGTCGCGCCTGCGCCATGGGTGGCGAACGTAAGAAAAAGCTCCTCGAGCTTTACTATACGCTTTTTTACCTCGTCTTTAATTCCAACGGCGGTGATACAACTACCCAGTCAGTTGAAATTTTGGACGACTTCTAGCTGATCCCCACTAAGGATCAGCGTAGGAGACGGTTCATGCCAATGTTGAAGGAAAGCTTTGCACTTGGAGGGTGCGAAGCATAGCCTGAAACTGGTGACAGCCGTTAACACTCTATGGGCTCCTAGAGACCGAGAAACTAGCATACTTGTATACTAATGATAAGGGTCTTCCTAATAAACTGGCGGAACTGAAAGACTGCTATGTTTCCGGGCCATATGTTGTCAGCGGTATCACTGAGACTTTGTTAAGTAAGTGTAACGGAAGTATAACGGAAGCTGAGATTTTCCTACCGGGCATTTCACTCATCTGGAACGATGGACTCACAAAAGGAGGAGGAGGTCTTCTGTATTACCGGAGTGACTTACTCTGCGAAGCGGTGGAGGATTCGGACTCGCAGTTCCCCGCCCATCTTTGGTATCCTCTGGAGTTAGAAGGCAGATACACTTGCATTTATTGCCATGATATACCACCTCTAACTCTACAACCTAAACCGACTGCCACCTTGCGGCTGCTTTAAAACGCAACCTAAAAGGAAAATACATTCGCATTCTTATAATGGGTGACTTCAACGTACATTGTTTAGAAACACCTGCCAAGATGAGAGAACAATTCAAAGCTCATCTGCAGGGGTTCGTTGTTAGTGTTTCACTCTACAATAACCTCACATTACCCACTTGTTTCGGGGCTAAATAATGATAATAATGTGTCAGCTGTACGCCTTAACAGCACTTCGCTGCCGCGCAACCACTACCAGTCGCGTGCGGGCTGAGTATACCGCGAGGACGTCCACCCCTACGCGGATTCGAACCGGTGACCTTATGGTTGCAAAGCAAACGTGCAGACCACTCGGCCACCGGCCGTTGCATCTCGTGCTTACCAACGAATGGCATTTATTTGCCGTGTCGGTTCTAGACTGCCCGTTGGGTCGCAGTGACCATGATGTCACTAGTTTCAACTTCATCTGCTATTCAGAATATCGGAAAGCGAAGTATGAGACTGTGCGAACCATCATAAGCTACGAGCGAGTAGCCCAGATTGCGTGCTACAACCTGGTCGTTCTTGGCCGAAGAACCCCCGGAAGTCGCCTGGCTTGAGTTCATCAACAACTTCAGTAACGTCGATTGCTGATGCATCAGAAATAAAAGTTTGCAATAAGTGTAAATTAACTACTTTCGTTAGGGGTAGAACTCCAAGATGGATGACAGTGCGTAACGCAGCATGGAAGGCGTATAGAGTGGCTCTAACACCAGAAAATTGAGATACATACTCAGCGCAACTTAACCACTGCACGTAACTGCTCAGAGAAGACAAGGCCGCATATCAGCAGCACATGGCAGAAACCTTCAGTGCTAACCATAAACTGCTGTACAAGCACCTCAACGGTCTATGGAAGGTGATACAAGTATTTCATCCAGTCAGGACGGCTGATGGCCCAAGAAGAACGACTAGGAAAGCAGCAAACGTGCTGCGGATGTATAACGCCCCTATGCTTTGGAGAGTTTTGCCGCCAAGTAATCTTCCAGCTTTCGTCCTCCCGCCGGCAGGACTCACCCACATCCCCTTTACCTCTGAAGCTGTATTGCAGAAGCTGACGTCTCTACGCAAGCACAACTCCCTCGAAGTCGATACCATTCGTCCAGGGAAAACTTAAAATAATAACTCTGATTCACAAAGATGAAAGCAACGGAGCCCTCAAAATAACGCTTAACATCTCCCAATATTCTCCAAAGTCATGGAACTAATCGTTGCTAATACACTGGTGTGTTATCTGGAACACTGTAACATGATTACGCCTGAGCAGCACGGCTTCTGTCGAAAGTGTTCGTGCACAACGAATTTACCAATCGCACGCAGTAGTTGGACCGAGACAGCTGACGCTGGAGAAGTTGTTGTTGTGACTTACCTGAATTTTTGAAGGCATGAGATCGGCTAGACCATCGTATGCTACTTTCCAGGTTCGCCGCTTTCCAGGATCGGTGAACTTTTTCTAAGCTGGATCGCCAACTTTCTCCTCCAACCGCAATTAGGCGTCATAGCTCGGCGCTCTTTATCGGACCCCATACATGTCGAGTGTGGTGTGCCGCAAGGCTCAATTCCAGATCCACGATTGCTTTGCATGTTTATTAATGACCTCGCGCAGGCCAGCGCTTCAAACTTCCGACCGTTAATTAATGCGTAGTGGGGATTTGGTATAATTTCAGAGGTAATTCGTCTCAGTCTCCTCTCAGTCAGCAGGCTTGGATAAGTCTGGAAAAACCACATACAGCGCTGTTTAGACCTTCTGGTTGTCGTTAGTCTTGCGTCTTCGTAGGACTTTTGCTGGGTTCCGACCCCATGACTTCCGGATGCCAGCAGCTTGTGCCACCAAGCCATGGGTGACGGTCGCGAACCTGCATGATTGACAGTTGACCACGATATAGCCATGGTCATCCTCCGCTGTCATACCAGTTACGAAGTGTGCAAAGGATAGTGGTTGGTCCCACGAGCTAAGACTTCCTGCATAGCGACTGGGTAGGACACAGCCCTTAGAGGCTATACGGACGGCTTTTATCTTACTGTTTGCCGACGATAGCAAGATTTGGCGCAGGATTCAGCTAAGTGCAAACCAATAGCTACTTTAGCGTGAGCTAGAAACGCTACGTCAGTGGTCAACTTAACAGTACCTGCATTTTAACGCGAGTAAATGCAGGGCGCTCTCAATAGGGTACAAGCTCAACTGCTGATACAGGCCTGGAACGAACTTACTGTATCCATCTGCCGTCGAACGTGAATTGGGGTCTAGTGGTTCAAAATGACTTGGGTGGTTTCAGGCAATCCAAAATGACCTAGAGGGCTGGAAACCAACACGTTGGGTTGTTGCGATGGGTGTTCGGTCGAATAGACGTCAATATTTTTTGACAGATGCACAATGCGTACCATCGACGCCATTTCGAATGCCCAATTCAAGCTTGGCTTCCGTGGCTGAAGCACAAACTTAATACACTGGAGCAGCCCCAAGGTCGGGCATCTAAGTACGCAATTGGAATGCACAGTCTTTCATACGAGCAGGGGCTGAAACCACTGTGAATGTTTAGCGGACTAGGTCTCACATTACACGGGGAGCTGATTAAGGTGTACTTGATTCTGCACGACCCATATCTTGTGTGCCGCTCCTTACTACAACGCAACGGCAATACAAACCTGAGGGGTCACTTATAGAAACGGACAGAACAGTATAACCGTCTGGAGTGCCGCAGAAATTATTTTCCATTTGTGTATATTACCCGTGAAGTGTGCTCCAAGAATCGATCGTCTGCACCGACACTAATAGTAATTAAAAGATGGTTGGATGATGCACTCATCCACTTACACTTTGTTACTTAGCGCTACTCCTGATGCGTACCTAAGATTTATCAGCTGTTTACTGTGGGTGCTGTGAATCTACGGGGATTGCAAAAGTACAGCGGAGCAACCGATAACTTCTTGTGTTCACGAGTTATTAACTTTATTATTATTAATATTATTATTATTCTTACTTCGATCTCCACTCAAAGTTACCCTACGGGATTTGTTAAGCAGCGCTTCTTGGCCCGTATTAACTCACTGTTCATGCTACCGCATTAATTCCATCACTTGTTGGTGGACTGCAAGATTGGCACCTGTCAGGGACCTGAATACGTCCACACCGAAAAGGTAAGGTGTGCGAGGTTCTCATTTCGTCTGAGCTGAGCAATGTGACAATGACACAGTCACTTTGGTGAGCGCGTAATTCTGCTATTCCAGGTGCCAAGTGGCGATGCCTATTCCTGCATTTTGGTCAAAGAGGTTATGATAACATGTGTACGCACCGCAGCCTGAATCTGTACTTCAGTTGGAAGCTGGTCGATGCGTCCTATTAGTACGTATTCAGCGAAACCCCTCTAGTTAGTTCTCCAATCCACTAAGTATACGGAACACGGATAGAGGTTAGTGAACCGGTATTTCAAACTGTGCGTAATGCAGGTAAACTTTCAGTAACCTAGCCTTCCGAACGGAAACACCGGCCGCGGGATCAAAACGAGCCCATTCATCTCAGTAAAAGTGCGGCCGCTGATGACGGTCACGTAATGGATTATTTCGACCAACAATCTTGGTCGTCTTCATCGGGAAAGCGCATATTCCGCATATACTTCGGCTTATCGCCGAAGCACATGTACAGCCTTGCAAACTGTCTGCTTCCCTCACATTCTTTTCAAATAAAGCCTTGGGAAGACCGTTACACATTTGCACTACATGATATAGCCAATGACCCTCAGAAGATGTCATTGGTGTCAGAACCCTCCTAAATTCCAGGCAAATGGACTCGCTGATGTACTATTCTAAACTTGGTGATTCATGTATCTCACACAATCTTTTACTAAGACCGATCTTTTTAATTTTTAATTTTTACCCTAACCATCCTAATCTGTTTTCGTACCCGTCATGAACTGTTGCTCCAGTACTTCGCCAGTTGCTTTGATGGTTCAATTATGAAGGCAGCTGGGTTTGACCGTCCATTTGATCTGGCAAGTACTAATTACCAGGTCGCATGTTCTGATATCACTGAAGAGATGGCATACTGCAAGTGATAACATTGGGAATGTTAACAGCAATAGGTAATGGGTAAAGGTTTTTGTCTAGTGCCTAATGTTTCATATTAGTGCATTACGATTTAACGCTTAATCTGAAACCGGTTCAACTTTTTTCTCCTTTTCAAGGGAAATCATGTGATCAGGAACGACTTTACGGTTTGTCCCAACTGCAGGTTTCCCGCAATCTACAGCGAAATGATGCGGTGAGTGCGATAGTTTTTTGCGCGCATACTTTTGTCTATATGATAAAGCTACACCTTGTCCGAACCAATCCTATGCATAGAAAAAACACAAAAAGTACAACATAAAAGTGGGATTCGAAATAAACATGTATAATATTACATATCGGATATTGCCCGTTCGAACAGCTGCACTGCACCACCGGATCCGTACTGGTTTGCATTCGTCAGGCGAAGATAGCACGCACTGGGTTAACAACCTTCGGGATGTCAGCCGTAGCCTCTGCTCCTAAGCCACACAGTCACGAGGGGTACCGCATATTACAGCGGGCAGTAATTCATTGACAGGGTACACTTGAGGCCAATATTGTTCGAGAAGATTGTGCCCCACAAGCTTATTCAAGACCGAGATTCACGTTTTGTCAACAGGCTGACATCTGAACTTCATAACGTCACTACCTGACCGGCTTTGCACTCATTTGCCGCAGGTGTACCCCGTCGGATAGCTACCCTCTCACCCACTGGCGGGCTGCGCAGACAACACTCACGGACAGGCGAGTGATTCTCGCACTCCTCTGCTTTAACGCATTCTTCTTCTCTTTATGTTCTCCCAAGGTAGTCACCATAAACTAACTCCAAGCGGATTTACTAGCTCTATCCACTGAGCCATCGTACGTGAAATGTTTTCTAAGGTTCCTGATTCCAGCAAAACCGGTTGTTCTAAAAAGCTCGTGTGCCTAAACTCACAATCTTTCCCCTTGTAAATCCATTACTCATTTTGTAACATCGCTCAGGTTGAGAACACCGATGCTCTCCAACGACCCCAAGACTATTCCAATATGGTGTTCCTCAAGCAGGCTGTAGAGGAATTTGTGGGGCAGGCTCTTCCACAAAAGAGCAAGTATGTCCAAACAAACGTGCTCATCGTACTTGGGACCCCAGCAAGGCAATCGGGATATACCAAGCGAAGCCAACATTGTAGTGAGCGTTTTCATTCCTCTCGACCAAGTCATCGTTTGGCCTCCCTCCTCCTCTTCCATCCGCAACCCCAACGCGCAAACAATGCACGTCGCGGGACTCGATGTGCTGGCATGCGCAACAGGTGGCCCAGCCATCGGAGCCTGGTGCGTGATCTAATGGTGCTGGGCAGTTCACAGCCACTTTCCGCACCAAATACCCAATGCCGAACACAATCATAGCTCACGCGGTGCTCCCACCAGACATGAGCTAAGCTGCAGAGGAAGCGATGGTCGAACGTGACTAGCCTCTTTGTGTCTGTCGACCTGATGTGCGAGGATTCACAACCATATAAGTGGGTTGAACGGACGGCTGCAGTATAAACTCTGCCCTTCAGGGCAAAAGGTAAACCACGCCGGCGACACCGTTGGGGGGAATTGGAAAAAGCACTCCGAAATTTGGCTATACAGTTCGTAATCTCACCTTTGATCCCATGGGCGCCAACATAGCTGCTGAGCTACTTGAATTGCTGAATGACTTCCAGCTGATAACCACCAAGTATCAGTGCAGGGGTGGATTCCTGTCAAGCTTGGCGAAGTACTTTGCATTTCGATGGAGCAAAGCATAGCCCAAAACGATTGACAGCCAGTGCTAATCGGTCCAGTGCAGCTTGGCACGTTTGGGAGCTGTCACAGATTAGGGCAATATCGTCCGCATACTCCAAGTCAAGAAGTCGCTCACCAGGAAGTAGCTCCACACCTTCTAGGTCGTGTCCAGCGAACGCTGTTTCCATGACTTCGTCAATAGCGAAGTTAAAGAGGAAAGGTGACAGCGGGCAACCTTGTCTCACACCGCTGGAGATATTGAAGGGCGGCGACAGTTTGCCATAAACCCTCACTCTGCCCGAACTATGCGCGTACAGCGCTTTGATAATGTTTACGTATTTATCGGGCACACCTTTCCTCAGCAGACAGTCCCAAAGGGCACATCGATCCACCGAATCGAAGGCACCTTTTATGTCGAGAAACACGACAACGGTGGGTCGCCAATAAACATGGCGGTGCTCCAACAATTGACGCAAAGTGAAGATGTGGTCGATGCAGCCCCGACCTCGACGAAACCCGGCTTGCTCTTCGCGGATCTGGCATACACAAGTGCCGGTCAGTCTGTGAAGACCGACAGACGCGAGCAATTTAGAGGCAATTGAGATCAGACTGATCCCTCTGTGATTGTCGCATTCCGAACGAGAGCCTCCCTTGAAAATTGAGACTATGACGGAGCGGCTCCAGTCTGTCGGGACAGTTTCCTGCTCCCAAAGTTTCACTAGCAACTCGTGTAAATCATCTACAAGAGTAGGTCCCCCGAATTTGAAGAGGAATGGGGAATTCTATCTGTTCCTACGGCTTTATGCAATTCCAACAATTTGATCTCATGTTCGACTTCTTCGAGTGTGAGCTGATCTAAGGAGACGGCCATGGAGAAGGGCTCTCAATGTTCGTAAAAGAAAGCGATAACTCAGGTTGGTTATACGTCTTGCAAGGTGTTCGCCCCAACACGTTACGCATTTTGGCAGGCTGTGGATCTGCTGTCCACTGTCGTCGCGTATGGTTTGGCTAACACGAGGTCTCCTGCTGCCTGTTTCCCGTGTCAGACGGAATAACTTACAATGATTACCAACGGCGGCTACTGTTTTCGTCTCCGAGGCATGACGAAACCACCAGGCTTCGCGGTTTTTCTTCAGGCTAGTACACAGTTTTGCTCTGAGATTTTTGCGAGTCTCATTGTGTTCGCTTCCAGCTGGAATACGTAGGCAAGCATCCAGAAGTTCCAAAGACTGCGTAGAGACCCAATGCCTAGGTTGACAATTTAATTTGCCACATGAGGACATGCCTGCTGATAGTAACGTTTGGCGAATATGCAACCAGTGATCTTCGACTGTGTTCAGTGGGCGCTTACTCAGCCCGGATGCCAGCGTACTTTGATACGCATTCAGAACACCTGGCTTTGCCAGTTGGCTGGTGTCAATGCAATCAGAACGACGTTGCGGACGTCCGCCGGAACGCACCCGAAGGTCAGCACACACAAGAGCGTGATCGGAGTCCACGCTGGTTCTCCAAATCGAAAGACAGTTTTAGACACACCCTCTCCATCGGTAACGAATCGCGATGTGATCGATTTGCGTCTATGGCAGGTGGGCAGCAAGTCACTCTTCTGCGAGTGCTGTCGAAGGTTAGTGCTCGCGAGAAAGACGAGCATCTTCACACAGGTGTAGCAACCGCTCACCGTTATCATTACGGGAGCCTACACCATGTTGGCCGCCCAGATGAAGCTCATCAGAGGACAAGTTTTCGACTTGGGCGTTTAGATCACCAGCAAGCACCACAGTATCCGTGCTTCTGTAACGAATGAGATCGTTAAGTTGGTGATAGAAATCATCTTTCACCGAATCAGTGCTACAGTTTGTGGGGGGCGTAAGCCGCAATGACAAAGAGGCACCGCTTGTGCCCGCGCGACTTCGAAACCTGGAACGAGTCAGCCAATCTAACAGCGCATATCCGGCTGTTGACTGGATCCAGTCGATCAGGGCAGGTTCAGCCCAGAGACGCAAAACAATGCAGACGCCAGCTGGACCTGCATTTGAATCTGCGTCATAGCAAAACATGTGCAATGAGAATGTGCCACAAGTGCCGCATATGGGGGATCGCACGGTAAGCACAGAACTCTAGTCTTGCAGGCGGGTTTCCGATAAACAACAAACGTCGATCGATAGGATCTCGAGCTTTCGGCCAAGTGCTACTTGTTGGTCAATCTGTAGCAATGTGCGCACGTTGAAGCATGCCAGTTTTAGCGAGGATCGAGGACTCCAAAGTGAAACGGATGAACTGACCTTGTCCACTTGGTTGAACATGCACTTGTCAAATGGACTGCAGCGACGCCCTGCGATTGTGTGTGAGTTGAAACTAGGAGACAAGTGGCTATTTAAACAAGGTGGGGGAGGGCCAAGAATTGGGGGATTGAAAACAATGGGGAATGAAAGTGAAGTTGGAGCTGGATGATAAGAACGA